GAAAATCATCAAATCATTAGCCTACTTTCTATTGCATCAAAACATCTCACGTGTATCACTCTTCGATAACTTACCGGTCTTTGTATGGACCTAATCACCGAAAGCCAGCTTGGCTTTCTTCATAATTGTGGTTTCATCGACCACATATTTAGTCTCCGCCAAGCTTTGGCACAGCGACACACATACAGACGACGGACTATGGTGGTTTTTCTGAACTTGAAAGCCGCCTTCGACTATGTTGATCGAAGCAGCTTGTGACACTGCCTTTCCATGAAGGGCGTGCCAGCTAAACTCCTTTCAATTCTGAAGTCTCTGTACCATGAATACTGAATACTGTATTTTGGAGCAAGTAGAAAATAATTCTGTACAACTCCATCGGGTGATAATCAAAAAACATTAAAAAAAATAAATAAACACCTCCGGTGTTTATCCTAAGATGGTTCAGCAACTCCTTCTGTAGCACACAAAATGCTTGTTGACACAGTGAGTCACAAGTGGGTGATATCGTTGTCAAGTGGCAACCGTTCTCTGAAACGTATGTTAGCGAAGTGTACATCCAACAAAGATTTGAATTTCCGCACAGATTCGGCCTCGACGACGTGTTCTGGCAGACTGTTCCAGGCGTGCACAACCCTCCGCTCGAAACACAGGGGGTGTGGGATTTTCTTCAGATCAGGTACCACGAGTTTGTACCTGTGCCCACGTGTGGTGCATGGTACTCGCAAGTGGAGTAACGACCTTAGCATGGGGAAATGACCGAGATGTAAAATACGGTAGGTCATGATAAGATCCACTCGAACACGGCGATATGACAAGGTGTAGAGCCCAAGTTTCATGCACCGGTCTTCATACGATAAGCCTCTCAAGCTGGGGATCAACTTGGTGGCGATGTGTTGTACTCGTTCGATCTTTTGCGCTTCGCCGCGAGTGATCGGACAATATGCAGGCGAGCCGTACTCTACCATTGGTCTGACGATGGAAGAGAAGAGGCGAGGGGCGACGTCCTCAGACCAAGTGCAGAAGCTGCGTTTCAGCGCCCAGAGCATGCGCAGTCCGTTTCGATACAGTTTGTTGGTGTTGTCGACGGACTTCAAGTCGCAGCGTGAGAGTACACCTAGGTCTCTCACGGAAGGTGTGGGATGCAGTGGTTGGCCGTCTAGGGTGTACGTTCGTCCGTGAACAGCCTTCCCGAGACTCATGAATAGGGACTTGACCGGGTTGACCGGTAGGTGGACTTCAGCAGACCATACTGCGAGGCGGTCGAGGTCTTGTTGGAGAATGTCACTGTCCGGGAGAAAGTAAGAATTGCCTTGGAAATTCCCTATTTTAGCGATTAATCGATTATTAACGATTATCGCATCGATTTCGAAAGTTCCTGAATGTTCTTCTTCTACACGTGATCAAAATCCACCTGACCTCTCGGGAAAAGATATGGGGAACCACTAACCTTGGCAGCTGACCTTCCAATTCTAGAAGTCGAAGGTCAGCAGAGACCTATAAATACAGCCAGGGTCCTCAGTCGTTGTACAGTGTTCGTTGGCTGCGATTAATACGTTATTTGTCAGGGTCATTGGCGTTCTGCTTTTTTCCTTCGGTTGGGCTAGAAGTTTTGCGGAGCAGTGAATTGTTATTTTTGGAGTTACGTCTAGTGAGAAGATTATAACAGTCACAGTCATCGAGAGTATTAATTTCTCGCCAAATTTTGAGGTCATCCGCAAACAGTGCACACGGCGACCGTAGAAGCTGGGGCAGCTCGTTGATGTGGATGAGAAACAGAGTGGGTCCCAGTACCGTACCTTGAGGTACACCACTGGTCGAGGGATATCAATCGGTTAGATGGCCGTCCACCTGTACCCTCCACTTTCTTCCAACGAGAAATTCATGGATCCATCGATGTAACGATCCTCCGACACCACACGACCTTAATCTGTCTAGAAGCAATTCATGATTGACTTTGTCGAATGCTTTGCTGAAGTCGATGTAGATTACGTCGACGGACTTTCCCCGGTTCAGTGCTTGCAACCATTCCTGTCTCGTCACAAGTAAGTTTGTAACACAAGAATATCCCATCCTGAATCCGTGTTGTGCCGGTGTCAGAAGTTCTTTCGATTGTAACAGATGTATTAGACGCATTTTTACTATCTTCTCGATCACTTTGGCCAAAACGGGTGTAAGACAAATTGGCCTGTAGTTATCCACCTTACTGGGGTCGCCACCTTTCGGGATCGGCCTCACCACCGAGCGCTTCCAGTCGTTTGGCAATGAGCCCTCAGACAATGATTTGTTGAATAGATCCGTAACGACAGGCGAGATAATGGCAGCTAGTGATTTGATAATTAGCGGATGAAGCCCGTCAGGCCCTGCAGGCTTGGTACCGTCAAGGTTCGCAAGTAGCAGGCGCACCTCGTCGACATCACAAACCAAACTGTTGAGTTCTACAGGAATGTTACTCGCTGAGATGGGTACGGACGCCGCGTCGTTTGCAAACACGGAAGCGAAGTGAGCGGCCAGTGCGGACGCGCGATCGGAACTGGAAGTTAGCAGGTGTCCGTCCGCGTCTTCCAGACATGACACGTCACCTTTTGGCTTCAAACGGCGTTTCACGTAAGCAAAGATCTTCTTTTGGGCCATCCTCGCGTCAGTTGCAAGCTTTTCTTCGAACTTCCGGCGCTTTATCAATTTCACTTTGTTGCAAATATTTCGCTGTCTTTTATATGCTTCGTAATCAGTGGCGGAGCCAGAGAGGCGAAATGCGTCCCACATTCTTCGTCGTAACCGAGCCAGCCTACCATATTCCTTGTCGAACCAGTGAGGCCCTGTAGGGGTCTACGGTAAACTCTCTTCTGCCTTCCCCACTACAAGGGGTTCGCCAGGGTTGTCCCGTACTTTTTCCTTTTCAACTTGGTTATCGAAATGATCATGAATGACCTGGTTCTTTCAGACCATTCTGGAGTTGAGGCTTTGCCAGGCGACCGACTGACAAACCTGGAGTATGCGGACAACATAGTTCTCCTAGACTCTGATACTTCGACCATACAAACACTGCTGCACAGACGTGTACGTAGCGCTGCCGGCCCGTAGCCTAAAGGTAACAAGCTTGTGTTGTAATCTGACGGCGCGGTTTCCAATCTACTAGGGGCAGGACGACCCTCGAAGTATCCTTAGCCCACGTGCTTGTGCGGCAGCTAAGCGTCGGTACTGCCTACAAGCGTAATTCTGATGCCCTGTGCATAGCGCTGCACGCTTCTGTATGTACTTTCCACCTTCAAAGTGCTGTTGCAGGACTTGGCCGACACACCTCCGGTTTTAGCTATTTCCGACCAGTCAATGAAAGTCGTGGATCGGGCCGCTTACCTCTGTGTCGGTCACACTGATGATCACATCACTTAAGAGGTTACTTCGCGTATCAGCTTTCCAGAGGTTCAATCATCTGTGGAGACGGCGGGATATCAGCTTGTCACTGAAAGCTAAGATGTATAACCATGACATTTTCCCGTCGCAGCGAGACTGGACCTTAACATGGTGCGACGGTTTGAGCACCTCATTGACCCATTGAGCTATACTGGGTGATGCCTCCGGGCACCTTGAGAGCTACTCCTACCAGGTTGGTCAATATTGAGAGATCAGGCAAACTCAGTCTCCTGGTCCTCCAGGTTGGGGGTTTGAAGTGGGATGGCGTTCATTTCTGTAAAACTTAATCATTGCCACCTCCCCGCTACCTTGCGGACATACTTTTGAACCAAAGACTGGATGAGGATCCTAATCGTCCTCCTGTCTAGGTCTGGGCGCCCTGGCAGTATCTCAGCCCATTTACAACCATGGCATTTTTTTCACACGTAAACTTCATCCTGCATCGGCCGTCGCGCAGATTATCAAGGGTCGCCTTATCTGCTGCATACATCAGGACGGATGAGCGAAAACATTCTAATGCTGGCGCCTCCTTTTTCACCTGTTTCTCTTACTCCCATCCCGACCCCCAGTACTAACCTTCCTTCTATAATTTCCACGTAATTGTCAACAACCGTAGTGCCACTGGAGTAGAACTATCTGCAGCCATCATGCCACAGTATCTATCTGACGCCTATCGGCAAACGTCCCTTATAAAACCACGCGATCCCGTTTCCATAGCGACATTCAACATTCGCACTCTAAGACAAATAGGTTAACAAGCTGTGCTCGCACGCACCTTGGACGCACTGAGTATTGATGTGTGTTGTGTGTCCGAAACTAGGATTAATGACCCTAACTGCGTTATTGAAATGACTGCACCCGGCTTATCTTCTCGTTATTGGTTGCATGCATCCGTACATGCCGATGCAGCACTCACGGGTCAAACTGGTGTAGGTATCATTCTAAGCCTTATATAATTTTGCATAGTAATTTTTTTACGCACAGTAGCCGGCTGGTAGCTTGCCGGAACGATGCCCATCCGTTACCGCTAGCTCAGCCGGCTTGCACCAGTTGCTTATTTTTCTCCTTTTTTCTATGTATTGCGGCAAAGTAGCTGAGGTGTTCCCCACCTCTAGCTAACGTGTATGATGAGGATGCTCATTTTAATTTCCAAGTCTGAGCCATTGTTGGTTGATTGGATTCCGGTGAACAGCCGTTTAGGTGCAGCTCGTTTGACGACATCAGCTAAGGTGGATTCACGAAGTAATACAAAACGCTGTTTGTTTGTGATTTCCGTTTATGCTCCCACCGACTACAGTTCAAATGCTGTCAAAGACACATTCTATCACGAACTGAACGCGCTACTGCGCAGTGCTACTAGTTCACATATTATAGTAATTGCAGGGGATATGAACTCACGAGTAGGGCGTCTGAGCTCTGCAGAAGTTCAACTGGGTGGTAATTATGGGCTTACATCCGAACGGACTGACAACGGTGAGCGTCTGCTGCAATTGTGTGCGGAGCACCATTTGTTTCTTAGTAGCACTGCTTTTAGACACAGTGGGCGCCGAAGTGCCACTTGGCGTCCTCCTGTAGCTGACCAGCGATGGACCCAAATTGATCACATTGTCATAAGTTACAGATAGCGTGGTTCCATCCTGGATTGCCGCTTGTACTGGAATACCTGTGTCGACTCTGATCATGCCTTGGTGCGCTGTCTTTTGTCCATAAACTTTACCGGGAGGCGCACCATGCGTCTCCCCCGATTGGCAACGGAGAAATTATCCCAGCCCTCGGTCAGCCAAGCCTATCAAGAAGCACTGCATACCGAACTTTCGCTGTCTTGTCCTAATGACACGGAGCTTCAGTGGAATAAGATCTCGGTCGCCATGCGCGGCGCATGTGTTTGTGGCACTATCCATCGTCACCGCACCAGTCACTGGATATCCGAGAGGTCGGTGAATCTGTTGGAATCTAGAAGACACCTCCCGGCTGGCTCTGAACACAGTATGACCAGATGAGCTGTTAGGCGCGAACTAAAACGGAGCCTACATGCTGACAAGGAAGCCTGGTGAACCAGCCGGTTCAAGAAATGGAAGAGGCAGGAGCGGTAGGCAATTACCCCAAGCTCTTCCAACTAATCCGCACCACTGGCCCCAGAAAACCATGCGTCAGTGAGACAACCAGAGACAGCGCGGGTGCACTGATACACAATAAGGCCCGTTGGGCGCCCGAACCTCTTCCTACTCAGGTGATGCAGGACGAGCCATGGACGATTAGTGTAGAGCCTCCGTCGGAGGCCGAGGTCCGAAACGCGATCACAGCCCTTAATGGTTTTCGTGCTGCTGGCCCGGATTCTCTCCCACCTGCACTATTTAAGGATAGAGGTGAGGTCCTCTACAAAGCACTGACCTCCCTATTCGAAGGTATCTGGAAGGAAGTGTCCCGGCTAATTGGAGCGAATCGATTATTGTGGCAATATACAAGAAGGACAGACGCACAGACTGTTCTAACCACAAGGGTATTAGCCTGTCAGTTGTGACAAAATTACTGGCCTCAATTCTCGTTCGTCGCCTCACTGCGGAACGGGAATCTCGGATTAGGGAAGAGCAGACCGGTTTCCGTTCAGGGCGTGGCTGTATAGACCATATATTCATTTTGCGGCAGGTGCTAGAGCAGCTCAACGCATACCGCAGACCGACAATAGCTGTGTTCCTCGATTTCAAGAGTGCTTTCATTTCAGTCGATTGATCAATTCTGTTCGAAATACTTTCGCGGAAATGTGTTCCCACGTAATAAGTTAGCATCCTTCGTGCTCTATATTAGAACACTACACGCCGCGTCAGGGTCTACGGTGGCGTATCGGATAGCTTTCCGACAGCTAGTGGCCGTTCGTCATGGTTTTCCGATTTCCCCATTTCTGTTCAATTTCGTTGTGGACTCCATAATGTGGTGTTCCCTTGCGGAATCTCACGAGGTACGCTTTGAGGTCCTGCCTGGTGAAAGATTAGTTGCTTTTGATTATAGGGACGATATCGTCTTGCTTTTCGTCGATGTTGCTCGACACTGTCAACCCTGAATAGCCTGTCCAGAGTGGTCCCATTATTTGGTATGCACTTCGCACCTTCAAAGTACAAAGTGTTGCTGCATTACCACCAGCCACTTGATGTCCCGTTGACCCTTGCTAACGAGGAACTCGAGGTGGTTGATCAATTCACTTATCTTGGCAGCTGCATCAGCAATGATGGGCGCATAGAAACTGACGTGAGCTCACTCATTGCAAAGGCCAGAGCTGCCTTCTTGAACCTGCGATATCTTTGGCGACAGAAGGGAATTTCCCTCCGTCTGAAAGGTCATAGTGAAGGTCGTTCTGTTCTGTGGTAGTGAGATTTGGCCCCTTCAGTCTGAAATTCTGAGGCGCCTTCAAATCTTTGATCGTCGTTGGCTGCGAAGCATTGTTAGTGTCGGATGGCACCAGCGTGTCCGCAACGATGATGTGCGTAGGTGAGTACTAGATAGTGATAATCATGCTAGCTCCCTGGAACAACAGACACCACTGAATACGCGTTGACTTTGGCGCATGCTACGTATGCCAGTTTACCGTTTGCCTAGGAGGGCGTTGTTTAGCCTGCCAGATGTAAGATGGCACGATGCTCGAGGTGGACAGAAGTTGACTTGGCAGCGGGAAATGAAGTCACTGACGACCAAACTGAGTGCCGTTGGTCCGTCTCGCCTTCCGGGCTGGAGTCCACGTGACTCGCCTTGTGCTTAGCACGGGACTTTACAGGACATGACTCGCAGTCGACACCAATGGCGCGTCTGCTGCCGTCTCCTAGTCGGGTTGCTTGTTTAAAGTGTGTTTGGTATTGAGTTATCTGCAGGGTAATGGCTAATTATGAGGCGGGGAAGTGAAAGTCGCAAGGAAGTTGTCTCGCCGATGCCGACTTATGTTTGCACGATAGCCAGCTGTTTGTGACGGTATGTTGTCTACACAAGGTGTAGGCGCCTTGACC